CAAACGAGAGATTACGTAACTTAACTCAAAAGCTTAAAAATAAATAACAATATACGTATATATATCACAAAAAAGATCCTTGTCTTTTTCTAAAACTCTAATTTTCTAATTAGACAAAATTTCAAAAAAAAAAAAAAATCTTTTTTTTAAAAATTTCTTTAGATCATTAGAATGGGTTATCCAAACCCCAAATGAGCAATTTAGATGATTTTTTTTTAGAGGGGTTTATATTGACTTTTTCAAACTTTTCTAAACTCAAATATCTCTTTACAAAGATGTGATTCAACATTCAATCTAATCCATACCTATGTTTGGTATGCCTACAGATGTATCAATATTATGATAATATATTTGTATATAAATAACTATTTTACCCTTTTATCAATCTAATTCAAACTCATATTTATATACGTATAAGATATAATTGTTTTTTTGTGTTCTAAACCCATTAACTCTCATCTGAAACTCATCCCCTCCCTAGGTTTGATGAAACTCATGATCTGGGGTTTAAGGTCTGAGCCAATAACAGGGTGGGCTTGATAACCCAAACTTTAAATTTTTATCCAAATATGAGTTTTATGTGTCATTTAAATTATTTATCCCCAATTCATCTTCTAAACCCCCCCCCCCCCCCCCCTCAATTCCACTGACCAAACTGCCCCAAAGAGCTTTATGCAGGGGCTTTGGATTGAGCCTATCAGCCTAGCTCTTTACTCCATGGGTTAAGGCATACTAAAACTTTTATTTTATATCAACCAATTATGTTAACTTAATTGGTTCGAATATCAATGACACCGGATAAAATATACATGTATCTTATTGTGTGTGTTTTAAAAAAAAAAATCAATCTGAATATCATTTATAATCTATATTTTGTTGTTAACGACGGTCTCAAATAGGTTAATTTAATGATCACTAATATCTCGTTTAAATTTATTAACATTTTACAGTATTTTCAAATTCTAATTATTCCCTCCTTTTAATAAAGTTGCCAGTTTGAAATGATGTTATGACTGACTAATGTGCGTGTGTTATGTGGCACTTTATTCTCAAATAAGAAATAACCAAAGAAATGATGATAGTCCCATGTTTCTGGAATATAAATATAGGCCGCTTGATTCCTAACTACCCAAGACGTGTCCATGAAAAATATTCGGTACCAAACAATCAACATTAATTACTTGGAGAAAATTCTACAAGAAAGGAATTTAAATTAAAGCTAACACAAAATGGTGTTGGTATCAGGTAGCACTACATCATGAGTTTAAGTTATGTAGGGGTGAGTAAAGTCGTCAAAAAGAAAGAGTAACCGTTGAATTAGTGTAAAGAAAGTGGATTGCCGTGAACGTCGATTCGGAATGATATAAATTGTCATTATAGGTATAATAAGGGGCTGTTTGGTAGGAGGTTAAGGGAAGTTGACAAGATGAGTTTGAAAAAAATAAATTAAAGGACCCGAACATTAAACTTATCATGGGTTTCATCAAACTTAAGGGGATGAGTTTGGAAATATGGGTAACGGGATTAAGGATGCAAAAGATAATTGTACCTTTTAATATGAGTATGAATTGGTCTGATCAAGGGTAAAATAATCATTTATAAGATAAATAATTGTTAATAATTATAATATATCAACGAGTGTTACATGTATATGTGTTACATACTAAGCATGAGTATGAATTGCACTCAATATTGAATCTTATGTTTGTAAAGAAAAATTTGAATTTAGAAGGATTTAGATAAGTTATTTCACATCCTCCCTAAAAATCCATCCAAATTAGCCTTAAAGGTATACACTTACACAATTATAGGGTGAAAACATTAAAGGTAAGTTGTGAATTATCAAGGTAAGCATTGTCCAATTGAGAATTCAAATAAAATGAAAGAATAGATTTTTGTATTTTTTGTAGAAGAATATGGTATGATTTTTTTTTTTAATGTGCATAAATTTATGATTTAAAGAAAAATATTTTTATTTTTTTTATCATTTGATGTAACATTCAAGATTATATATATATATATATTTTAAAAAAAAATTTAACCATATAATTTTGTAAGACGTATATGAATGGGAGTCCTAGGTGATCGCCTCACGCCCTGGGGCGGAGCCAGAGCGGAGACCACGACAAATATAGCTAGTGTGACGGAAGTCATCATACAAAATCTAATGCTATTCAGTTTGAGACAAATGACTAACGAGGATGTTTTAGACCAATGGAGTGGATTTTGGTGACACAATCTGTTGTTGCTTGGTGAAGTGAGTGTAAAGTGTTTAATAATTTTGAGTTCCGAATTTTTTATATTGTACAATAAATCTTAAAGTTTTGGAGTCTATATTGAGGCGATTGCTATACTAAGTTCATTTTTAAAAAGAATAACGATTATAATCAGAAGTTTCATTATTCTACCGAGGAGAGTCTATCGAAATGATTGTGAGAGTTTTCTTTTTCCCTAACCCAATTTTTTGCTAGCAAAAAAAGAAAAAAAAATCAACAAACAATATTGTCAATGCCGGTCTGAGACGATATCTTTTTTTTGTTTTTTGTTTTTTTGTGTCATTGATTTGAAATTTGAAGCGATATTACAGTATTGAAAGCTAAAAAGTCAGAAAAGCATAAACAAATAAGACTAAAGCCAATTGCCTTGAGAAGACAAAAAGGCATAAAGCCACCACCTACTTGGTACAATAAGCCGGTATCATGCTCACCAACGGTATAATATACACAATGACTATAATACCCCTTTTCACACTTGTCACATATAAAAGTCCAATTTCACTTTTTTGCAATAAGGTTAAAATTGTCATTTTGAATGAAATATGTCAGCTGACAATCATTTCTTTTGGTACATCTCACGTAACCCATTTATTTTTTTGATATTGAAAAATAGGGTGAGAGTAAGGAAGAGTGTTTAACGATCACTTTATTAAACTCTTATTAGTGGGATCATAAGACTCCTGATCGAGTCTAAAACACATTTCAGGATCAGATCTAACTAAATTAGAATAGCGATCAATTATCGAACCTTAATGAGAAGTCCTGAATTCGAATTCTTAATCTCTTAGTGGAGAATAAGGTTGGTACGGTACCACTACTAGACAACCCTAGTAAGTGGTAGGTTGTGTTGTATAAGAATACACTATGAATACAAATTTTCCACCGAATAGAGAACAAGGACTCATTACACAAAGAAAATAGAGAAGTTTTCGAATAGCCATGACATATGAAAGTATTTGGTAGACGATTTATATTGTTATGGAAGTGCTATTATTTTATTGATGACAAAGTATCATTATCATTAGATCCCAGAAGAAATGGTTGACTTTTGACTATGTTAAAAAGATTTTCAAATTAATTTTACAATCCGTTAAATGATTCAAGAAACTTGAGATTGACTCGATTTTATCTAGTTCAAATTACATGGCAAATCAAATTTAACGAAGTTTTTAAACTCATCTTGCAAAAGAAACACCAAACAATGTGTGACTCTAGTTCAAATAAACTCCACCTATTTCCAATAGATTCATACTTATAAGTACTTCTAAATTTATTATCTAACGGTCTCTATTTGAAAGTTGCACCTCCAAATTAACTTATTACCAAATAATCACTACAAATCATATATATTTTTCTCTCCATCTCTTCTTTGCTAGACTTTTTTCAAAATTGAAGTCTAAGGGTTGCTCGTATAGAATTCAAGTGGTTTTGAATGAAAAATTGATTGTTTAGTATTTATTATCAAGTTTTAGGATTTTATTTTTGAAATATTTTCAAACAAATTAAGATCAATTTTGGCTTGTGTTGGTTAAAATGGTTGTAAGGTTCTATCAAGCTAAGCTTGAGTATGATTTCAAATTTTGTAGTAGAGCTCAACTTGTGCTCAAGCTTGGCCACTCAGTAAGGTACCGAAACTCATCAATTCTGTTCGATTAACACTCCCTTGTGAGCTAGTATCAAATGTGAGATTAGATAACTCATAATTTTTTTTCAAGGGTGGATTAAGGGTTATCGTATCATCTCCTCAACCTTTGCTACACCGTTCTATTTTAATGCGTGAAAGACCTACTTGTATATAATGTATCACACTAAAATTCATGGTATGTGATCCAACCAATAGCATAACTAATAAAAATAGGGTTTACATTTTGCAATTCATTTTAACAAATCCAATCCAAATTCTAATCCGAAATTAGTCCAAATTAAATAATTCGAATCAAACTTGAATTTTAACCCGAAATCAGTACGAATTAAGTAACCAAAATTTAATCCGAACCCGTCCAAATTCAACTTGAGCAGTGCTTAGGTTGAGTATCTCGAGTTGTGATCAAGTTAAGATTATGGTTGAAGATTATATACTTAGATTTGGGCTAGGTTGTCCCAGCAACTCGCCGAACCCTCCCGAGTTGCATTCCTAACTTTTCACGATCATATAAGTGATATAATATTAATTCAGTGAAACTTTTTGGACCATAATTACCACTATATGACCGCCATTGTGATGGCGCTTTTAATCTCTATTTATACAAATTCATCGTGTATGCTCTTTGTTTTTAAATGTCATTTCGTTAAAAAAAAGTAAAAATATATTTGATACTATTTTGTAAAAGCGATCTAGATGCAGCAGCCAGTTCAACAAAAAGCATGAGATATTTTAGTTCCAGTGTGAATAGTTTACCTTTGATTAGACAAAAGAGGAGATTAGTCAAGAGATACGTAAGTTAGCACAGACATTTCTGACTGTTAAACTAAAAAAAAATGAAATACAGAATTGTACGAAGGACCAATAGTAACATTATCAAGAATTAAACAACTGTTTACATGACAAGATCAACCTAGCAATTTATGCCAAACCTAGTTATTCGGACACACAAAAAAAAAAATACAATTCTTCAGCAAAATGATTCACCAATATAACAGAGTTAACAAAAAATAATTAAATAAAAAAATCAAATAGGAAAGACAGCTTTTAATTAGTTGATTTTTATTTTTGGTCAATTTTAATTAGTTGATGAATGCACATCGTTTCCTGATTTCACCAGACTTGTCTGTGAGCACCCCAATCTGACCCATCTTCACCATGGCAGGTCCAAAGTCATTCAAAAAAGTGGATCCACTTGAAATCTGACTCAGAACATAAGCTTTTGTTGTAGTCTCAGACAGAAGAGCTCCATCAGATTGAAACAGTCCTCTTCTTTTACGCACCCTAGTGTAATAATCAGTGTCAAACTTTTTGGAGCTTCCAGGATCCGTCTCAACGATCGTAGTCAAATTGCCCGGTTTACATATTTTCTTCAACGCAGCTGCATAGTTTGGATCAATTGTTGGGTCAGTGTCACCTTTGCCAGTGAAGTTGTACAATCGGATCGTGACGGCCGGAAAGCAGTGAGAGATCCCTATGGTGTGGCCTCCTATAAGAACAAAATTAAGTATCATTCAAGTTAAAATTTGATATAGAATATTAATTATTAATCATGGAGAGTTTTCTGTAACAAGTTTTACATTACCAGATAGGACTGCAAGGTCTTTTACACTCAAACCCTTTGACCCAAAAGACGCTTTTAGTTGAGTTATATTGGAAAATGGAGATGGTAGGTTTTTCAAGGCATTTTGGGCCGTTGACACTCTTCCGTCCCTTCGTCCCGTGGGCACTGACCATGATGGTCCTTTGATCTGGAAGAAAATCATAAGTTTAGTTAATAGCTGCATAAATGTTGGTCGAGAATAATATATGTATCGTTTGGTAAAGCTTTGTAAGTAATTTTTTATCAAACAGTATGGTAAGTTGGTAACTAGTGTATGGTGTTGGTTACCATTGAAACTGCATCTCGAGCCACCAAGGCGACGATGTCAGCACAAGAAACAACTCCAGGGCACTTTTTTTCTACTGCAGTTTTGGCAGCATCAATCACTTCAAAACCTCTTAAACTTGTGTTGGGGGCTGCATCTTTCTCGGCTTGGTTGTTCTTGGTGGAGTTTATGAGAACAGAACCATCACATCCCTGCAACCAAAATGCGTGAAAGATTCATATAAACTATACTCAATTATTGTCCATTTACACCATTTGAATAAAATGACTCAAAACCCAAAACATAGTAAAGCATTCTTAAAATTTAAAATTTTAGGAAAACCTACGGATAGAAGATGTCCATGTTCTACTTGTAGGAAAACCTTTTAGAAAAGTTCTAGTGCAAACCTTGATGTTCTACTGATAGGTTTAGCCTACTAAAAACGTTTTACTGCTAGAAGAACTCGTCGTTTTAATTCCCAAGTTTATTTATGAGGTCAACCGACACCCAGTCTCCTTGTAACACAAAAAAAATCTGAATGTCTCAAAATTTGACATACATTGATAGGATAGCTAGATTTTGCGAAATGAACCCAACGGTGAAATCTATTTCGTTATCCAAGTTCTAAAAAAGTTTAGATTTTTAACTTGTACCATAGTAACAAATTACTATTTTGTCATTTTCATAAAAATTTAAATTTAGCATTTTATGGAAACAACTGGACACTTCGTTGCAAATAATAGTTTGAGGCACCCATAGACAAATGGGCAAACAGAAGTGATGAACCGGACATTGGTGAATATTCTGTGGGGTCTTTGCAAAAAGCACCCGAGATTGTCCCAAGCTGAGTTCATTTACAACAATGTTCCCAATAGGTCTACTGGATGGTCTCCCTTTCAATTGTCTATATCTGGGCATCTATACATACATTTGACCTGGTTCCCCTACCCAAACTTTCGGAGATGAGCATTACAACTGAGCACATGTTGGAGAAGTTGACAGATATGGATGCCGAGGTGAAACAATAGTTGGAGAAGTTGACGGCCAAGTACAAGGAAGCAGCACACAAGCATTGCTGCCAAAAAACTTTTCACAGTGGGTGACATGGTGATGATTCATTTGTGCAAGGAATGGTTACCCATGAGGACTAATAAAAAGTTGAACCAAAAGAAGATCGACCATTTGCAAATCTTGAAGAGGATCAACGACAATGCTTATGTTGTTGATCCTCCTGCGGGCATGGGCATCTCTAGTACTTTTAATGTGCGAGATTTGTTAGAGTTTCATTCTGATTTCATAGAACTTCTAAAAGTTAACTCGAAGACTGAGTTTTTTTCAAGATGGAGGGACTAATATAGAACAAGTGAGGTATAAGACTGATGTAGAACAAGAATTACTATTTTTCGTATTTTATTTTTATTTTCTAGTTTTATTATTTTGTTAGGATGATATTTTAATTAGGAAGATTCTAGAGTTATTTGCTACCTAAATCATGTCAATTTTTTTAATTAATTAGACATGTGTTTATTTGTTTTTAGAAACTTTCCTAAGATTAGGATTTGTTTTCCATTTATTGAAATTGCTCATCAAAATTTGATATTCTGTCTTTAATGACCCACTAAGATCGAGGCTGAACCAATTGATTAAACAGATTGCAACATTATAATTGATTCCGATTTCCTTTTAAATATTTCAAGATCTATAAGATTTTAGGCCCCAAAACAAGCCTTATAAAAATTTAAACCCAATTAAAAATAATTTTGAATAGTTTGGGCTTATGATCCAAACCCATAATATTAAAAATTCACCAAAACATTTAAAAAAAAAAATCAAATGCTAATGGTTAAAAAAAATTTCAATTGATCAAACAAAACACGCTACTCATTTTTAACCCCCCCCCCCCCCCCTCTTCTCTCTCCGAAATGCAAAACTTAACAAATCTCAAACATACCTTTCTTTCCCCTTATGTTGTCCGAAACATAAAAATTAAAAATCTCAAACATATATCTCCCATTTCTCTCTCTTCCCCCTACAATAAACTACCGACCTCCCTCTCTAGTGAACACAAATTTTCTTTTTTTTTAGGTTTGTGCTAAGATTTTTTTATTTGTATTATGAAAAATGTACAAACACTTTGTTCAAGTTTTGAAGTCTAGTTATGGTCTTGACACTTTTCTTTTGATCCTTTTGTAATGCGTAATTACAATGTATTCTTTTGCTATGGGGATGATAGATCTTCTATTTTCTTGTTTTAGAAGATCAACCATCCCTTTGGAAACACCTGTGTACATAAACTCATATTCGTTTATTATGAAATTGATCTTACTTACCAAAAAAAAAAAAAACAATTAAAATTACAATTGATAAAATCTTCCATGAAATCGACTATCACAAAAATACTATGTGGATTAGTGATACTATCAATATAAAAATATATGATAGCGAAACATAAACATAAAAATTAAGAGGACTTTTAATCTCAAAAATAAGAAGAATATATGTTAAATAAAAAATTATTAATAAAAGTCTATTTTTTAGTTGCTGCTTTACGTCTCAAATAGTCTTGGGCCGTCCTTGTTGATAAGATCAATAAATTATGTTAGCATTTTAGGTTCAACTAGCATTACCTGAATACTATTAGATTGTGTTGTTGCCACATTATTATATTAATAAATTTGATCAGTGTTTTTTTAAATTTAAATAGCATTACTCACTTAGTATTAGGGCAGACTTAAAGCTTGAGAGAGTAACTAACGCAATTCTGGACACCATTAAACCCAAAAAAAAAAACCCTAAGTTTCATAAGTCTTCGCTTTGAGGTCTGGGCTACCACAATCTACTCTTTTAGACATTTGCGTTTGAGACTCGTCGCACTTTTCTACTTGTCGATAGTTCTAATACAATTTGTACTGTTCTAGACCCACATCTTCCCATGCGAGGATGCCAATTAACATGCCAAGACTCTGGGGTTGAGGGCTAAACCTAGAAGAGGTTTAGGTACCAGGTGGCAGTACCAAAAAAAAAAGTGTTTTAAAACTATAAACCTGCTCACAAAAGGGACAATATGTTCACAAAACGTACAATATCTCAATAGTATGACGGGGGTATTATAACATGTATTTTATGATAGGGTTTGATTGATAATGGAAGGACTGCGATTGTTAGACATTTCCTTCGCTAACACTTTGACATGTATTCCCAATGAAGTCGATTTTTAAAACAGTTTACACAAATAATTAGCTAATTATGTGGAGCTTAAATATCCCAACTAGCTAGTTAATAATTTCCTATTATCAGGAAAACAAAAAAGAAATAGAAAATAACCTTTTTTTTTTCGGAAAGCCAAAAAGCTTTCATTCATGTGAAAAACTTGTGATGTACATCAAACAAAAACCAATACAAGCAGTGAAACCCCATTGGATAGCAAAAGTAAGGAGAATTCCTAAGAGGCACCAAGCTTTAGTTGAGTGCCCCGAGGGAATTAGCCCAAGTCCTATACAAATCTATGCAAAACAGACTTCATAGGAGGCACAAGAGGTGGGAAGCTGCCAAGTAAGAAGTAATTTTTCGTTCCTTGGAGTGTTCTTGAATTTAGGAGAACATTCTGTAACTAATAGTTTGGACAATAGCCTGCAAGATGACTTTGGAATTCTTGGATTGGTGGCTATGAAGCCTTGAGTTCCTTTCTCTGCAAATGGAGTAAACAACTACAGATAGGCATAGCTTTTGAAGGGTTCTGAGCATGGACTTACCCTTCCATGATTGAGTTACTTGATCAGCAGAAGCTGCCACGATGTAGTTTGCCATTGTTCCCCACATAGAAGCATTAAATGACACCAGATGAGCCTTGAGTAAGGGCAAGCAAAGAATGAGATTATGGTGAGATTCTTGGGAGTGGCTGCATAGGCTGCATTCAATCCCAAGTTGGGCAGCATAGGCTAGGGTTCTATCTCTTGTGCTTAGCCTTTGTCTGATAGCTAGTCATAGAATAAAGTTCATTCTAGGGATGCCTTGAGAAAACCATACTAGATGCTTAATGAAGGGTCTGACGAATACTCTCAAATTTTAGATGCTGAGCCAATTCCATGAACAGTTGTGGGGTGGTTTAACAACCCAGATACTTCTACTCTTAAGGTAGTAAGAGTGAATCCGCTTGTACCAAAGACCTTATTTGTCAGTGAAGAGTTTGCAGAGATATTTCATCATGAGGGCTGAATTGGTATTCTTGAGTCTTCTAATTCCAAGGCCTCCTTCCCTTTTTGGTCTACAAACATCCTCCCAAGAAACTTTGGCTCCAGTTGACTTCAACTCAGTTCCACTCTAGAGGAAAGATCTTAGGAGCCTTTCAATATTTTCAATGATTTGTTGTGGAAGACAAAGGTGGGAGGCCTAGAAAGTTTGAATGCTAATAAGGACAGATTGAGTGAGCTGAAGTCTACTAGTAAAAGAGAGGAATCCATTTGTCCAACTCAAAATTCTTGATTTTATCCTTTCTATAAGTGGATCACAGTGTTGGGCTTTAAGTCTGGAGGTAATTAGAGGGATGCCAAGGTATCTTATGAGCAGAAGACCTTCAAAGAAGCCTAGAAGGTTGATGATGGAAATTTTCTCTTGAGCAGGAACAACAACCATGAAAATGTTGCTCTTCAGGAGGTTAGCTTGAAGCCCATAAAGCATTTAGAGTTAAATTGAGCTTTTTGCATCTCCAATGATACCTGCATCCTGAGTTTGGAGACGTTTATTGGCTGATAATAGCTGAGAGTACCTCCATGGCTAAGACAAAAAGATAAGGGGATAGGAGATCCCCTTGCCTAAGCCCTCTAGTGCTTAAAAAGAAACCAACAAGCTCCCCATTTACATTGACAAAAAATTTCGGGGTGGTGATACATTGTTTCATCCATTCTCTCATTCTAGTTGGAATGCCCATTGGTTCCATAGTGTTAATGAGGAAGCCCCAGTCAATAGCGTCAAAAGCCTTGGTAATGTCCTCTTTGAGAGCACAACGAGGGGAGCCAAAGTTTTTATGATAGTCCCTTGGAAGCTCTTGGTATAACAGTATATTATCACCAATTTTTCTTCTTGCAATGAAGGCAAATTGGTTATGACTTATTATATCCTGCAACACCAACTTAAACCTGTTAGCAATTATTTTGGATATTGCTTTGTAAATAAGATTACAACAAGAGATAGGTCTAAATTCTGCCATGGTGGTAGGGTTGGAGGACTTTGGCACAAGAGCAATAATGATAGCATTCAACTCTCTTAGCAGACTGCCATTTTTGAAAAATCCTTGATAGCTGCAGTGACATCCTCTCCAATAACCAACCATGACTTCTTGAAGAAGTAAGAAGAGAAATCATCAGGGCCAGGGGTTTTCATGTCACATTACTACATCCTATTAGCCATGGAATAACCTTTTGACATGTTGTCATGAATTGATATCACATTCGAAATACATCCATGGATCCTTCTCTGAAACACTGTCAAAGGTTTCAAACCATTGTTGAATCCTCGTAAATCCAGGTTTGTTTGTAATAATGTAGGATAAAAAACCATGTTGTGGACAACGCTTCCAATTAATCAAGACACTTTTATTCTCCACTAGGGGTGTGTGTGTATATATATAGGCTCGAAAAGACCTATATCAAAGTAAAATTATGGAGAATTGTTTGCTTGGTTAATTAGAAAGGTGAAGATCTTGAATACTCACGGTTTAGCTACCAACTTTGCTGACTTAACGCATAATTATTTCTTTTTTGGACCTTCAAATTCGAAATACTGGAGGACATTATCTTTTAAAATAATAACTAATTTCATGATAGACTCCATCATTAACAATTCTGCCTCGACTCTAGGTATTATAACTTTAGTCCTCTTAATTATGTGTTTTGCAAGGATTACTCTCTATTATCTATTTAAATATCCCACTAAGACTGATGTATTTACAACTACATCCCCGAGCAGCAGTCAAATGAGAGCGTGAACGCTAGATGCCAATGGAATGATCGGCCTGACAAAGGCTAGGGCTGCTTCCTTCCCACAGTGTCCTTTCTTGTGTGTTGGAGATATAAAGAGAGTGCACCGGAAAAGAACGGGAATTGGGTCAATCAATTTCGATTCTTTTTTTTTTCTCTTGATTCTTTTCCGATCAAGATGTATAGATCTATGGATCTATGTGTCTATATAGATCCTGTTCATGTATACACACACATATATGTATGCGTGTGTGCAGTTAGCTTGTAGTTTGCATGGCTCCACATATAAAAGCTACTTGGTTTAGGTATTACATTTGAATCAATCTAATTAGTTGAGTTTACTAAAAAAAAGCATTCCATATCTCAATGTCTGCCAGATACAAAGAAGGAAGCACCGTCCGTCCATAGAAACAACTGATCTGAACGTGCCAAATGACATGCATAAACATGTGATAGCCCAATAGAATCTTCAATCTATGGACCCACCCTATATATGATAAATCCATTAATTAAATGCCCAACTTGCATTAATAATCACTCTCATTGGTGATCAACGAAAACTAATTCTTCAATTCCAAGCTCCAACAGGGATATGATTAAGCTAGTTTTTGGTAAACAATTTGCCAAAAACCCGACTCGAATGCCGATTATGTGCAGTGTTGGTATGAAAAATGTTAAATAGACTTAAAAAAATTGATTTTATGAATCACTACCATTGAATATGTGGGTCCCAATAAATATTAAAACCCACAATTAAATCAATAACAAATATAACAGTCATATGATCAAATCAGATTTTTAAGCTTATGTAGAATTGCTTGTTATTTATATATAAAACACTCAAGATAATCTAGAGATGCTAATTAAATAATTTTTTAATCTTTCTTCACCATTTTTCTGATTAATTAATCTTTAATTAGTGATGAATTATTGGCTTAATAATAGCAAGGGTGCTTGAACCAACCTGAAAAAGTGGAAGTCTCATGCATGTTATAATGTCTTGAAAAAACCTCATGCATGTTATAATATACAAATTCCAAAACATTATTCCCTTGATTGGGTTAATAATATGCATGTTATAATACGAAAGAGTAGGGAACAGCTTTGCATGTATTGCATGCTCAGACGTGTTAGGTGGAAATACTTCTTATTTAAATATTATTCCCTTGATTGTTTCAAAATCTCAGTTTAGTTAACTATATATTCTTTGATCTGTATATAATTAGTGTTCTGATTCTTTTTCTTCTTCCAGTTATTGCTACAAAATGTGTCTGAGATAACTTGTGCACACCTTGACTAATATTTATTTTTTGACTCGGTTAAAGACAAATTATCTATACCAAAATTAGAGAAGTCATGTCTAACAGAGTTACCCAATTTCAACTTATGACATAATTTATAATTCGTTCTGTATCTAAAAAGAGTTGATAGGGTGATCAATTGGAGGACAGCACATTAATTTATGTATTGGTGACCCAATGATTTTTTAAACATTAATTTTATTTGTTTATACGTTTATCCTGTTGGTGGGTCCAATGGTCTGTGCTTACAGATTTACATGAAAATATTCAACTAAATTAGTTGGCGGACCACGTTCCACGGCCACAACGACCATAGAGTTGGATAAAGTTAAAAAAATGCCGTTTAATGCACAAGACAACGATCAAATGAAAGTAAGCCTTATCAGTTCTTCTGTTGAACAAAAGCATGGATACAGATCTGTATGAAAGACCAACAGTAACATTTTCAAGAATTATTACGTGACAAGATCAACCTAACAGGTTATACAAAACCAAGTTATTCAGACCCAAAAGAAAAAATAAACCACCAATAAAGCTTTTAATTAGTTGATGAATGCACATCGTTTCCTGATTTCACCGGACTTGCCAGTGAGAACCCCAATCTGACCCATCTTCACCATGGCAGGTCCAAAGTCATTCAGAAAAGTGGATCCACTTGAAATCTGACTCAGAACATAAGCTTTTGTTTCACTGTCTGAGAGAAGAGCTCCATCAGATTGAAACAGTCCTCTTCTTTTACTTACTATACTGTAATAATGAGTGTCAAATGTTTTGCGGCTTCCAGGATCCATCTCAACCAGCATAGTCAAATCGCCCGGTTTACATATTTTTTTCAACACAGCTGCATAGTTTGGATCAATTGTTGGGTCAGTGTCACCTTTGCCAGTGAAGTTGTACAATCGGATCGTGACAGCGGGAAAGCAGTGGGAGATCCCTATGGTATGGGCTCCTGTAAGAACAAGTATACATGATTCAAGTTAAAATTTGATATAGAATATTATTGATCCTCGAGGACTTTGATCTGTAGTAAGTTTTACATTACCAGATAGGACTGCAAGGTCTTTTACACTCAAACCCTTTGAGGCAAAAGATGCTTTTAGTTGAGTTATATTGGAAAATGGAGATGGTATGTTATTCAAGGCATTTTGGGCAGTTGACACTCTTCCGTCCCTTCGTCCCGTGGGCACTGACCATGATGGTCCTTTGATCTAGAAAAAAATCACAAGTTTAGTTAATAGCTGCATAAATGTTGGTCGAGAATAATATATATATCGTTTGGTAAAGCTTTGTAAGTAATTTTTTATCAAACAGTATGGTAAATTGGTAACTAGTGTATGGTGATGGTTACCATTGAAACTGCATCTCGAGCCACCAAGGCGACGATGTCAGCACAAGAAACAACTCCAGGGCACTTTTTTTCTACTGCAGTTTTGGCAGCATCAATCACTTGAAACCCTCTTAAACTTGTGTTGGGGGCTGCATCTTTCTCGGCTTGGTTGTTCTTGGTGGAGTTTATGAGAACAGAACCATCACATCCCTGCAACCAAAATGCGTGAAAGATTCATCACATATACTATAACTATAATCGGGGTTGGGACTTGCGAGGGACAGATTATATATATGTGTGTGTCTTTGTTATGGCAAAATGATTGATCTCATGTTCAAACCCACAACCTTAAAAACAAAAAAAAAATCCAAAAACAAACATATGTTTACGTTAACAAAGCAGTCATGAAAATGCAGTCTTAGCAATGCAGGGGCAAGGCTTGGTGCTTTGGAGATGTATTGAGCTGTTGTGCTATTGATAATGGCCTCGGCGGGGGGGCAGGTCTGTTGGTAGAACCCAACTTTCAAGCCTTGAGCATTTGCAAGATCCAAGACAAAAAGAACAAGAGTTAGGTGAAAAAAGAAGAGAGAAAGAAGCTTTGGACTTGTCATTGTTATCTTCAAACGAGCAAGTAATTAAAATGAATATGATTCTGTGCTCTTAAATGCTTGAAAACACACGAAACAAGTGGTATTTATAGTTAAGCTGAGGGTTCAGGATGAATTGTTTTGCTGGCTTTGACACAATACAGAAAGTATTTGTTAATGTCAATTGTGAATTATTTGATGTTGTCTGAAATAAAACTGTTGACTTCTGAACTGTTTATGAGGAACCCTGGAGTTTGAAGCTGGCAAGGCTTCATATTATAAAAGTGTCATAGCATACTATAACAAGAATGAAGCTAGACTACGGTCTGGTTAACCTCATCCAGAGGGAGTAGAGATTACCAATTCGAATCTCTTATGCGGTAGTAGTACTACTAATAATAATGACACAAAAAATTAAAAAAAGAAGAAGAATGAAGCTCCACCAACCATGTGTAAGAGTTAAATGTAAACTTGAAAAAAAAAAAAAAACAAATATCCTAAGAAAATTTTTGAATCCATTTATTTTTAATGTATTCCTAGGGACTCAATGTCACTTGCACAATCCTAAGTCATCTGAAGTCTGACCCTTGGTCTCGTTACGGGACACCGGAGGAGAAATTGAAGGTATAACATGAAGCAACCAACATCACAAAATTTTTTATTTTTTTTAGTGGTGGGGAAATTGTCCTAATTATAATGCTCCCATTTTCTTGATTGCAACGTAAATACTGGACAAGCTTAACCCACAAACGAAGTACATCAACTAAGCCTAAGTTTTGTGTAGCCAGGGGAACTCGAACCAAAACTTCCTTGCTACGAATCATCCTTTGCAGGTCACTAATTTCACTCATACTGATTAAAAAGACTTCGAATAAGCTTGTTACATCCCTGAAGGTGACGGGTGATAATTGTTGAAATTTGACCCAAACAGTCTAATTGTTATGAAGAAAATGACATTAGAGCTATATTCCAACAATAAATTTAAGATTTTGAGTGGAATATGAATAATAAATAACTTGGGTAAAATATATTTTTAGCTCCCTATGTGTATAATGTTTATTTGGTCCTTAATCTTTCAATTGTGTTACTTTGGTCTCTAAAGTTCATAATTTAAATCTAAGTGGTTCAATCCCAAACGTCTTCCAAAAAATCGTGACAGTTTTGGTCACACACCAATCACTTGATTCTTGATTTTGTATCTATTTAGTCTCTAAAGTTTTTAATTTGTGTCTAGTTGATCCCTAAAGTTTCTAATTTGTGTCTATTTAGTCTCACCTGATTGACGCGTGATTAGAAACATTAATGATTTTTTATGAACGTTTGGAATTGGATCACATAGATACAAATTAGGAACCTTAAGAATCAAATAAACACAATTGGAAGATTTAAGATCAAATAAACACTACACTCATACGGGATGAAAATATATTTTACCCGATAAACTTTATAGAAGTAATGTCAAATTATAAATGTGTACCCAGTCTGCCTTTCCTATATAACACCCTGGTTTATTGGATATTTTACTGGGTAATGACATTTTCTTGGAACCCTATAATGATTAGGGAAACTTGTACGTTATTATCTGAGGAAAGCTATGGCTAGTGTAGTAGTATGCATGAAACAAAGTGATTTAAAAGGCCAGGTAATCATATTTGAGAAGGTTGACTTTGTAAGTGGCCCGGCCAAACATGTGTTAGTTTATAGGAATCTTAGTTTTATAATCATATTTGATTAAACTAATGTAAAAGGCCAACTGGAGTTTAGACATTCTCTCATTGTCCCATCAGCTTACAAGGCATTCCCAACTTCCAATACCACGAGAGAGAACTATGTACAGTTCGAAATGAGAATATGGGTTTTAATGCACTGAGAAATGGTCAAGTCTGATAACGTAGAGAGGTCAACTGAATTTTACAGATGAAGAGAAGATGCAGAGATGTAGACATAGTAGTCTATAAAATCAGGACAAATGTCTATATTATAGAAGGACAAATAACAAGCTTGGAAAAGTATGATGAGCTGACATAACAAGGTGGGTCCTTGTAAGGTCCCACGGTTGGCAAAGGCCGTGGCACCGCGGAAAAGTCAAGCCATGTGGAGGGGTGAGGCACACTTCACCATAGTAGAAACACGGCACAGTGGATCCTTCTCCAAGAAGAGGTAGGAATGGCACTAGAATAGTCTGGGCACAACCTTGGTACGATCCCCCTCCCCCATAGCGGAGGCAAAGAGGCATGGCTGGGATGCTACAATTGATAGGAGTGGCGTCCTGGGCAAATCCTCAAGGAGTACCCTCTGGACAAGATCCCTTTGAGAGAACCTTCGACCCATTGGATGTCAACCATTGATGTACTGCAATTTAACTGGCCTAAGAGACTAAGAGAAAAGGTCCCTACTTGGGGATAGGACAATATATCCCTCCTCGAGGGAGAACTGGACAACTGGAATGAACAAACATGATTGTCAATTACGATCTCAGGTAAGGTTTTAAAAATTTAGTTTGCTTGAGCAAGTTTCTCAATGTAGAACTCACTATCTATTGAGTTGTGCATAGCTAGGAATTAGAGAGCCTTCAAGGTAAAAAGAGTTAATGGTTGAGATCAACATATGGGTTGATAAGACATATGAATTGGTGACTAAAAGAACGAAATTATGTGAGTATCTTTAATTGACGGAGGCCTCAGAAAAGGTTCCAAAATGAAGGCCCTAGGTATATGTGCATTAGGGGCACCGTCTCTCGCAGTGGCTAGTCGCGACTCTTCACCATGGGTGTCCCCTTGCCTTGGAGGATGTACCCCTTGCTCAATGGTCAAGTCCAAGTTGTAACTGAGGAAACGCCATAGTTGCCTAATTATTACTTGGGTTACTTGGCACATGGTGAGTGATCGTTGGTGTAATTGTAATTGAGATAGTTGTAAGTAGACACAGCTATCCCGTACGATGGTGATCCCTGTATATAGGAAAGTGTGAAAAGCCCATAGGGACAGCTCTACTTGCCTAAGTAGCTGTACTATAAATACATTAATCACTTATGCCTACAATACACACAATAATCTGGTATGAGATAGACATTTCAGCTAGTGTGAGGGCATTCACTATCTCCACCTACTCGAAATATTTTTTTCCCAAGGGTCAAGTCCGAGTTGAATCTGATAAAAACATTATATCTACTTAATTAATATTTGGTCACTTGGCACACGATGAGTGACCATTGGTATAGATGCAATTAAGACAATTGTAAGTAGACACAGCTATCACATACGATCTTGACCCCTGTACAGAGGAAAGTGTAAAAAGCCCATAGGGCACCCCTGCTTGCTTGAGTAGTTGTACTGTAAATACATTCATTACTTGTCTTACAGTACACACAATAATCTAGCCTAAGACGGACATTCTGGCTAGTGTGGCATTCACTCTCTCTATATACTCGACGTATCTTTTTCCCACTAGTCGGTCTTGGTAATAATCTTTTCTCGCTAAGTCGAGCTTAAGTAAAACATTAATATGACAATTGAGCCTGAGCTTGAAAGTTAATATTAAAATCAACTTAAACATATTCAAGTTCAACTTGATTAACAACTTATTTTCAATGGTTTCACATATTGCATTAGGTGGCTCTTAATATTTTTTTTTTCCCGAACACGGAATAAGAGTTGCCATCAACCGGGAAAAACCTCCCCAAAGGTCCAAAAGGCAATGCATATTCACTAATAGTATGCAAATTCCAAAGCAGAGAAAGAGGAAGGAACAGCTTTGCATGTATATAAGTTGACTTAAAAATTAGACTTGATAATTTTAACCATTGATTTTACTGTGTGTTTCAGTATTTATTGGGACTCACTACCTATTCAATGATTGAGATTATCAAATCTAATTTTTAAATTCATCTAGCATTACTCTATTATAAAACAACTTATCCACAGGTATCAAATGTTGAGATGTGACGGTATTATTTAATTTATGGATCCAAATTTCTTTTAATATTTTAATATTTTTTTATTTTAATTTTTTTTCTTGATAGATTATTTATTATTAATGAAGAAGAGAGGCACTTGTATAAAATGAATTTCGTTTGAACGTAAGATAGATGATCCAGCAATAAAAAATACATTTGAGGGGATCTCACTCATTAATTGACCTAACTATTAGATTAGGTGGAAATAATTATTTTTGAGTAAACTATACAGATGATTCTTAAATTATGATATTTATGTCAATTAAGTCATTGATTGTTTTTTTTCGCGTGTTAATTAAGTCTCTAAATTTTCTAATTATGTCAATTAAACCTTTTTGTCCGTCTCTGTTAAAATGTGTCACGTGACTATATGACACAAAAATATAAAAGTGATGTCATATGTATAGTTTATTCCAACCATTTGTGTCGTGTGGGTGGCACACTTCGCCATTTTCTGTTAAAAAAATCTAATGAAAGCAGACAAAATGACACAATTGGAGAGTTCAATGACTCAATTAACACAAAAAAAAAATGTTCAGGAGCATAATTAATATAAAAATCACAGTTTGAGGACTATATGTGCAGTTTACTCATTATTGTTTTAACTACTATCCCCTTGATTTTTCCAAAATCCCAGTTTAATCAAATATTCTTTGATATATAATTAATATTACAATTCAGACTTGATATGGTCAAAATTGGAAGTTAGAACATTAGTTTACTTGCTCGAGACCCCTAATTTTCTGGACATGAAGTTTAGTTGATCAAGTGTTTATTGTATTGAATGGTCCAGTGATTCACAAAAAATTTTCGGTGTGCCACGTTCCACGGTCACATTGACGTTAGAATTGGAATAAAGTTACAAAACATGTGGTCTGGTACACGAAATTCATCTCTTTATAGTCATGGGAGGGTAAAATGCACTGTCTTACTAGCGCATGCAGAGTCTGCAACTCAAATTCTTGACTTGTTGACATTTTCACAATTGTATTATGAATATTGCTTCTTCTTTTTCTTTTTTTTTTTATTTCTTAAGGTGATTTTTCAAGACATCAGCACTATATATGACCATCATTGTGATAGTGCTTTTAATCATCATTTATCTTTCTTGGTGTGCAATTAGTCATGCTTTTTTAAAAATAATTTTTTAAGTAAAAAAATATCTAGTACTATATATTTTATGAAGTTTACATAGATACCTCATAATCTATAAGATGAATTACACTTTATACCTTAAAAGAATTTAAGATTCTTATTACATACTTTTAAAAATTAATTTATTCATATTGCACACTCAATATATCGAAAACATTGTGCAACATAACATTTCTTTTAATATTTTATTAGTTTTTTCCGTCGAGAATGAGTTGTCTTTTGAAAAGCAAAACAAGTCTATGCATGCCTGTATACATCACTGTACAGGAGTTAAACTGGGAGAAAGATAATAGACCTGGACAAGGAAAAAAACCCATATTAAAAAAAATAAAATAAAAGAAGAAGCAGCACAACTAAACTTATAACAACTCATATCACAATCAACCTTTATTTGAAGTTCTTCAGTTCAACACTGGGGAGACAGCATAAGATACAAAATTGTATGAAGGACCGTCAATAGTATTTTTCAAGAATTAAACATATGTTTACCTGACAACCCCCGTGTTATTCAGATCAAAGAATACAAATTCTTCAGTAAAATGAATTACCACTTTCACATTGTTAAACCCTAACCCTCCACCCCACCAAAAAAAAAAAAAAAAAAAAAGGAAGAAGAAGAAAAAAATAAAACTGGAAAGAAAGCCTTTAATCAGTTGATAAAGGCACAGCGTTTCCTGATTTCACCAGACTTGCCAGTAAGAACCCCAATCTTACCCATCTTCACCATGGCAGGTCCAAAGTCTTTCAAAAAAGTGGATCCATTTGAAATTTGACTTAGAACATAAGCTTTTGTTACACTGTCTGAGAGAAGAGCTCCATCAGAGTGAAACAGTCCTCTTCTTTTGCTCACTATACTGTAATAATGAGTGTCAAATGTTTTGCGGCTTCCAGGATCCATCTCAACCAACTTAGTCAAATCGCCCGGTTTACATATTTTCTTCAACACAGCTGCATAGTTTGGATCAATTGTTGGGTCAGTGTCACCTTTGCCAGTGAAGTTGTATAATCGGATCGTGACGGCGGGAAAACAGTGAGAGATCCCTATGGTATGGGCTCCTGTAAGAACAAGTATACATGAGTCAAGTTAAAATTTGACATAGAATATTATTGATCTTGGAGGACTTTGAACTGTAGTAAGTTTTACATCACCAGATAGAACTGCAAGGTCTTTTACACTTAAACCCTTTGAGGCAAAAGATGCTTGTAGTTGAGTTATATTGAAAAATGGAGATGGTATGTTATTCAAGGCATTTTGGGCCGTTGACACTCTTCCATCCCTTCGTCCCGTGGGCACTGGCCAAAATGGTCCTTTGATCTGGAAGAAAATCACGGGTTTAGTTAATAGTTGCATAAATGTTGGCTTAGAATAATATAGGTATCGTTTTGTAACGCTTTATAGGAAAACTTTTTTCTTAAAAATTTTTGTTTGACGAAGTGTAATCACTTATCAGACAGTATAGTAATAACAGACAGTATAGTAACTAGTGTATGGTGTTGGTTACCATGGAAACTGCATCTCGAGCAACTAAGGCCAAGATGTCAGCACAAGAAACAACTCCAGGACACTCTTTTTCTACTGCAGTTTTGACACCATCAATCACTTGAAACCCTCTTAAACTTAAGTCGGGGGCTGAATCTTTCTCGGCTACGTTGTTCTTGGTGGAGTTTATGAGAACAGAACCATCACATCCCTGCAACCAAAAATGTGTGAAAGATTCATCATATAAAACTATAAACTATAATCGGGGTTGGGAAGAACAGATTATATATATATTTGTCATTGTTATCGCCAAGTGACTGACCTCATGTTCGAACCCAAAACCTCAAAAAAAAAAAAACAACAATAAGAAAAATGCAAAAACAAACAGAAAACAACATATGATTACGTTAACAAAACAGTCATGAAAATGCATTCTTAGCAATGCAGGGGCAAGGCTTGGTGCTCGAGAAATGTATTGAGCTGTTGTATTCTTGATAATGGCCTCGGCGGAAGGGCAGGTCTGCTGGTAGAAACCAATTTTCAAGCCTTCGGCATTTGCATGGTCCAAGACAAAAACAAGAAAAGCTAGGTGAAGAAAGATGAGAGAGAGAAGCTTTGAACTTGTCATTGTCTTCAACAACGAGCCAGTAATGTATTTGATTCTGTGCTCTGAAATGCTTGAAAACACATCAAACACTATTATTTATAGTTAAGCTGAGGGTTCATGATCAATACCATGCT